TGAGAGACCTACCCCCCCTAGGGTGGGTTCTTCTGTGCTGCACCAGGCTCCTTGTACTGGGTCTCTCTCTCTCCCTCTACTTCACACACACGGGGTACCTTTGCTTCAATGTAATTTTCATCAATGCCTTGGGACAATGCTGAGGTTGCCATCAGGGAATAGTCCAACTTAAGGAGGGCCTCTACTCTTAAAGATGAGCATACACCATGCACACTTGCACCACCCTGTTCTCCAGTTACTCTCAGGTCCCCATGTTACTGTACATATTCCCACTGTAGCTTGCAATTATGCGGGTCATGCCTTGTGCGGACCACAGCTACCTGTCCAGCCTTTCCCCCTACTGGTCCCAGTAGCAGCATGGAAACCTGCTCTGCACATAGCAAGGGCTCCAAACATGCACTTGATGCTATGCTTGAGCTTCCATTCCTCTGTAGAGGAGGGGGATCTCTGCAGGGCAGTTCTGTTCAGGTTGCTATGAGAGACAGAATGAAGTTTAGAGAATGCAAACAGCATCTCCTGTGAGGCAATTCCACCTTTCATATGCATTCTATGGACAGGCTACTCGCTGACTGTACTTTCAAAGCTCATGGCAACCATATGTGTAACTTGCATTAAGTTGACTCTTTTTTTTTTAACAGAAAGTTTATTGGATGGCGACAAAATTACAGCCAAAGCAAGTAGGCATAAAGAGAATTAAAAAAAGGCATACAAGTTTATAATACCAAAATGAAACAGGTACGGATGGCAAGTGGACAGATCAGTGCAAAAATCTGCATACAACATATCAATGTATAATGCAATTAAACTCAGCGTAGCATAGCAAAACATGCAAATATGCAGGTCATCCCCAGGAAGCAAGATAGGAAATAAGAAAGGGGGAAGGGGAAAGGAGAAAAGAGAGAGAAAAGAAAAAGTTGGGGGGGGGGAGGGGGAGAAATTCACAAAGTAATAGCAGTAGGTCATAGCGTTAGGTCCCTGGCCTTGATCCAGGCTCCCCATATTTTTTTAAATTTCGTGGGGCAATTATGCCCCAAGTACGTGAGTTTATATAGGGGCAACACTTGGTTAACAAAAGTACGCCACGGTTGCAGCGTGCGGGGAGTATCCAGTTTCCATTTAAGAAGAATAGATTTCCTAGCACAGAACAATGCATAAAACAAAAACAATCTTTTATAGTGGGTCATATTAAATGTAACGCAGATGCCTAGGAGGATGATTAACGGGTCCAAAGGTACCAACAATGCACTTAAAGCACTCAGGTCGGATATCACCTTTTTCCAAAATGCTTGTATAGTAGGGCAGGACTAGACCATGTGTAGAAAAGTACCAACATCCCTCTTACATTAGGACACGTGGGATCTAGCGTAGGATTTATCAAAGAGAGACATTGGGGAGAATAATATACTCTATGTAAAAATTTAAGTTGAATCCATCTATCCCTAGCAGAGATCATAACAGGGATATATTGCTGAATACCCTCTTCCCAGTCCCCATCAGTCAGATTTGGCAAATCACAGCACAATGCATCATAGAGACGAGTGACCTCAGAAGTATCTGCTTGAGCCAAGCAAAGATATATAGAGAGGAGAGTGGCTTGTCTAATTTATCTGTGGTCAATTGATTTTCAGCCGCATGTGGGGCCAAGACCAATGGAAAGGTAAACTGGGACTGGGCAGCATGCCGAAGTGGGAGATACCTAAAGAACATATGACTGGGAAACGCAAACCAAGCCTTAAGACTGTCAAAAGTCAACAACTGACCATAAAAGATTATATCTCTCACGGTTTTGATACCACATTGAACCCAGAGAACCGAGTCAGGTATTGTCAGGAAGTGGGGCAGATTTCCTCAAAGAGTGTAGGGTGACATGTAGTGGTCCACAGAACACTAGATTCCTCAATTCCGCATAAGACCCTAGCAAGGCTACTTCCAAGTCCACGCCGGATTGCCTTTCATCTGGGCAAACCACCAATGGACAATGACCAGAACAGCAGCCCAATAATATTTTTGAAAAGGTGATTCTTTAGTATGTAAACTCTTCATACCCCATGTGCTAGTGACCCAAGCTGTAGACTAATTGCAAAGTTGTGCTGTTCACTTGCATTACACCCCTTTGAGTAACTTCAGACCAGGCAGAAGGCAAAGTTTCAAAGCTTTACTGAATAAAGTGCAACAGTATAAAGTCCAACAGAACACTCCATTTACCTAAGTCCCTAGTTCCTAATCCTAACCAGGCTATGTGCTGTCCTAGCACACCTGAAGAGGGTAAGTCTGTATAGTTGCGACATCCAGCAGAAACAAGTTCCGGAAGCTGGTCTCTTCGGGGGGGGGGGAACCCCAAGTCTTTAAGATGTAAGAATAGTTGGGCCATTCCTACACCTTTCCCAGGTGTCATTATATTTGGGTTCTGGGGAGACGGCCAAGGCTGGAGAAGTGAACCCCCCTTCTCTCATAATGGATCCTCCAGACTCTACAAACATGGCTAAGAGAGCAGGCCACTGGCCACCTGCCGCCCCAGACCTAGCCAACTGTCTCATTTTATACTCACAGGTGTAGTGGGTCGGACCTAAGAATGCTGTCAAACACTGTGAGAACATTAGCCCCTACCCTCCCATCCAGGACAGCACCTACCTAGCTAGTTCTAACTCGCTCATGTCCAGATGTTCATGTATGCTGTACACATGGGCTTTCTAGGCACCTGGTAGTTTTTTCTTTCTTTTCCTGTAAATTTTCTTTTTATTCAATATCCTTCTTTTTTATGAAAAAAAAAGTCCTGGTTTTGGATAGCTTAGGGAAGGGTTAAAATCCTGGTTAGCTGTTTTTTTTTCATGTCTATTGCATTGCAAAGTGAAGTAAAATCCTCTTAGACCGTTTGTTTTTTGTATACGTTTTTTGCATATATTATTATTTAAATTTGGATTATTTACAAATGTGGCTTCTTAGCCCATATCTTCTTGGGATATTTACTCACTTTTTTCTGTGTTTTGTGTATGTCATTCTATTTTTCATTTTATAATTTTTTCATAATTATTTTTATCCAGTATGCTTTTTCTCTTTCTTTGTTTCTCCTTTTATTCCACTTCACTTTCCTTTTTTCTTTTCCTCCTTTTTGTTGTTCTCTGAGATCACTATTTTTGATACAATGGTTTTATATGTTTTGTTACAATGTATTAGCAGGCGTATCCTCAGGATTCAAGAGTGCTAATTAGGACAGGTGTTCTTTATTAACAAATACCTATATAAGACAGCACGTTTGTTTGTTTTCTTTGTTATGATTAAGCACGAGATCGAGTGAAACGCGTTAACAGGTCCATTATTCATGTCCTGGTGTTTTGTGTGTCCTATGGATCAATAAATACACACTATATTCATTTATCCTCCGGTGTGCGACTGACCCTTCTTCCTATTAGACAGTTGCCAGGACAGGAGCCCCCATTGTAAGATCTGCTCTCAACTCTTGTTTTAGTGACAGCTGTAACTTTTTGAATTTCTCATCACTTTCTGTCTTGCTAACAGTGGCAATCAAGAAAAATAGAGAGGGTGAATATCCCCAGCAGTTACACAGGCAGGAATAAAAATCATACCAGGGGTTCTAATCCTTATGTACTCTGTCCAAAAATGTGTTATGTAAGTCATGTCCATTGTTTATAGCAAAAACCTCTTTGTGTTTGATGCCCCCTCAAGAGCAGAGCCAGTGAGGACAACAGAAACCCATGAAGTCATGCTGGGTTCGTCTGTCCCATACAGATGATAAATACAACATTCTAAACTCAGTGTTACATGTTGAAGAATGCAGGTGACACTAAAATATAACTAAAGTCAATACTATTTTTTTAAATAGAATACCTTTGGGGTTTTTAGTGCTGTCTGTGCCCCCATTAAGGAGATTTACCCTATTTGTTCTGTTTATCACAGAAAATGAAAATGAAAGAAAATCCCAAGTTTTGTGCTGTCACCAAAATAGGAATATAGGGGAAATCCTCCAAATGGGACACTAGTTCTGGTGACCCTGGTGATTACCAGGAATACCCTTACTTCCTTACTCTATCCTAATGAAAAAAAAGCTTTGCCTTTAGTTCTACTTTAATGTCTCCAGATTTAAGCTCCAAGTTCGCAGGGTGTTCTGGAATTTCTACTCAAGCCATTCACACACAAGCATATGGATGTCGCATTTTTATGAAATGTGAGGATGGATAAACAAAAATAGCCATTCCAGGACACAATTTACAAAGCAAATGTGACCATAATTAGAGATGAGCGAATCGAAGTAGGCGAAGTGGAATTCATTTCGAATATTGGAAAATTTTCGATTCGCGCCGAATCCGAAAAATAGCCTACTTCGGATGCGCGAATCGAAATTTTCCTAAAATGGCGGCGACATGTGCGGCGACGGAGCGGGATGTCTGGGAAGGCGCGCAGACAAGGCGCGCTGACCCATAATGCATTCCTTAATGACATGTGATCGCATTAGCCAATCAGCAGCCAGCCAGCCAGCACTGTGTAATGGTCGAGCTATAAATGGCGGCCATTTTAGAATTCTTCATTTGCCTCCAGTCATTCAAGAGAGGCAGACCTCTCTGTATTAGGGACAGAGTTAGGGCCACAGAAACGTTACTTGGGGACAGAGAAACGTTACTTAGGGACAGAGATTAGCATTACTCAGGGACACAGAATTGTTAGTGAGGGCCACAGAATCGTTACTTAGGGCCACAGAAACGCTAGTTAGGGCCACAGAATTGTTACTCAGGGACAGACAGAATTGTTACTGAGGGCCACAGAATTGTTACTTAGGGCCACAGAAACGTTACTCAGGGCCACAGAATTGTTACTGAGGGCCACAGAACTGTTACTTAGGGCCACAGAAACGTTAGTTAGGGCCACAGAATTGTTACTCAGGACAGACACAGAATTGTTACTGAGGGACACAGAATTGTTACTCAGGGCCACAGAAACGTTACTCAGGGACACAGAATTGTTACTGAGGGCCACAGAACTGTTACTTAGGGCCACAGAAACGTTAGTTACGGCCACAGAATTGTTACTCAGGGACAGACACAGAATTGTTACTGAGGGACACAGAATTGTTACTGAGGGCCACAGAACTGTTACTTAGGGCCACAGAATTGTTACTCAGGGACAGACACAGAATTGTTACTCAGGGACACAGAATTGTTACTGAGGGCAACAGAACCGTTACTTAGGGCCACAGAATTGTTACTCAGGGACACAGAATTGTTACTACACAGAATTGAGGGCCACAGAACCGTTACTTAGGGCCACAGAATTGTTACTCCAGGGACAGACACAGAATTGTTACTCAGGGACACAGAATTGTTACTGAGGGCCACAGAACCGTTACTTAGGGCCACAGAATTGTTACTCAGGGACAGACACAGAATTGTTACTGAGGGCCACAGAATTGTTACTTAGGTCCACAGAAACGTTACTCAGGGACACAGAATTGTTACTGAGGGACACAGAACTGTTACTTAGGGCCACAGAAACATTAGTTAGGGCCACAGAATTGTTACTCAGGGACAGACACAGAATTGTTACTGAGGGACACAGAATTGTTACTGAGGGCCACAGAACGTTACTTAGGGCCACAGAATTGTTACTCAGGGACAGACACAGAATTGTTACTCAGGGACACAGAATTGTTACTGAGGGCCACAGAAACCGTTACTTAGGGCAGGACACAGAATTGTTACTCAGGGACAGACAGAATTGTTACTGAGGGCCACAGAATTGTTACTTAGGGCCACAGAAACGTTACTCAGGGACACAGAATTGTTACTGAGGGCCACAGAAATTGTTACTTAGGGCCACAGAAACGTTACTTAGGGCCACAGAATTGTTACTCAGGGACAGACACAGAATTGTTACTGAGGGACACAGAATTGTTACTGAGGGCCACAGAACTGTTACTTAGGGCCACAGAAACGTTACTTAGGGCCACAGAAATTGTTACTCAGGGACAGGGACACAGAATTGTTACTGAGGGACACAGAAAATTGTTACTTAGGGCACACAGAACTGTTACTTAGGGCCACAGAATTGTTACTCAGGGACACAGAATTGTTACTGAGGGCCACAGAAACCGTTACTTAGGGCCACAGAATTGTTACTGAGGGCCACAGAACTGTTACTTAGGGCCACAGAAATTGTTACTTAGGGCCACAGAATTGTTACTCAGGGACAGACACAGGGAATTGTTACTGGAGGGACACAGAATTGTTACTGAGGGCCACAGAACTGTTACTTAGGGCCACAGAATTGTTACTCAGGGACACAGAATTGTTACTGAGGGCCACAGAACCGTTACTTAGGGCCACAGAATTGTTACTGATGACAGACACAGAATTGTTACTGAGGGCCACAGAACACCGTTACTTAGGGCCACAGAATTGTTACTCAGGGACAGACACAGAATTGTTACTGAGGGCCACAGAATTGTTACTTAGGGCCACAGAAACGTTACTCAGGGACACAGAATTGTTACTGAGGGCCACAGAAACGTTACTTAGGGCCACAGAATTGTTACACAGGGACAGGGACACAGAATTGTTACTTAGGGCCACAGAAACGTTACTCAGGGACACAGAAATTGTTACTGAGGGCCACAGAACATTACTTAGGTGCCCACAGAATTGTTACTCAGGGACAGACAGAATTGTTACTGAGGGCACACAGAATTGTTACTTGGGCCACAGAAACGTTACTCATGGGACACAGAATTGTTAGAACCGTTACTTAGGTCACAGAAT